CGCGGTTGTGTTTTTGTGTGCCACTCATATTTTCGAGCTGTGAGATAGACTCGTCGAGTACACAGTGTACCTCGCTAGTGGTCGAGAATTATTGATAGTCGATACCATCGATCGATATCTATCGATACCACAGTCCCACAAAAAAATCAAAGTGGTCTGTTCCAAAGATTAGGCCCATGTATTCTTATTTATTTTGACGCGTTGAATCCGAAGCCGGGACCAAATCACCCTCCATTTTTTTTAAATCGCAAAAAACCGCCCTTAAATCCAGAAAATATCGAAAATCTCGCTTTATAGACTATTGCGGATCTGCTTTAAGGTGGATATGAGAGGGGGCAAGCTAATTTTTTCTGGATTACCTTCAGTACAACTCACATAATAAAAGTGTAGAACCCTTGATCTGGGCGAGGCTCGGAACATTTTCAAAATTGCAAAAATGTTTAAAAAACTGAAAAAAAATACCTATTTTATCTGAGTTTTTTACTTATATCTTGGAACCTATTCATTTTGGAAGAATATTGAAGAGGAAAAAAAGTTTTAGAATTGAATTTTGCAAAATGTACTGTAAGTTAAAAATGTTTAAAGTGATTACCGATGATGCAAAATAGTAATAATTGATGAAAAAAAGGCAAAATAATCAAGTGTTTTGGATAATTTTTTTTAAATATTTTAATTGCTCCGAGGGCATTCTAATTTTGGTAAAAAAAAAATTAGAGTATAATGAAACAACACACCAAATTTCATTCAAATCGGTTCGATAATTTTTTGAAGAAAATATTGAAAAGAATTTTTCGAATTTTCAAAATGTTGCACAGCCTCAAATAAAGCATCTAGATACTTGAACATTTTTTCACGTAGAAAAGACCGCTCAACCTTTCCAGTGGTTTTTGAAAAATTGAATTCGGTTGATTAGGACGGTCACAGTAATTTTTTAATGTTAACACTCTTTTTTTATTTTTAAACAATTATAATTTGCAATTTAGTTTTTTTCCAAAATTATTATTTTAAAGTACTATTTTTTCTTAATTTTATCTGTATTTAACAAACAAAAAATAAAAAAAAAATTGAATTTGTTTAAAAAAAAATATTTTTATAATTGTAATAATTATAATTAAATACGTTCATATTCAGAGTGTTGAAATATATACGTAAACAAATTTTTTCATTGAAAAAATGCAATAGCATAGGATAAANCCGTTTAAAATGAAAATATTCAAATTGATAGCGGCGATATAGCGCTTTGACAGATGACGTTTAAGTTCATTTGCTATACGCTACGCCCTACGTCCAAATTTTCAGAACCAACTTGACCACGTTTTTATTTGAACGCTCGTTATATTTAATGCATAAATAATAAACTTTGTTTATAACAAAATATGTGCAAATTAGACAGTTAGCATTACGATATTCGAATTCCTTGGATCGCGAAACATCGGATTGAAAAAAAGATCAAAATTGGTCCTTTAGAAACCGAGATAATGCAATTTTTTTCGTACCATCGCATTTTGAACCTCCAAATTGAGTCTGGGAGCGAAAGTCCCCTACCCCACTTTTCGTGTTTTGAGTTACTTTTCGCCCGTGCGAGCGACAGCATTCACCGATGATTTTATCTATGTTGCCGATAACTTATGGACATGAAAATTTTTTCCAGCTTAGAACTCGGAAAAACGAAGCCACTGGATCGAAGGTTATTTCTAAATTGTTTATAAATTAACGGTAAATGCCGATAAACTTTGATCGCTTATATCTCGAGAACCAATAAACGGAATTAAATTTTTTTTTTAAAGAAACGTCTTTCCGAGTACTTTAAAATTATAATTCTTGAAAAAAACTAAATTGCAAATTGATAAATAATGTAATGTAATTGTGGGATATTTCGACAGATCCGCCCTGGTCTATTAGAAGAATCACCATTAGGTAGAAACTGATTAAAAATGACAGCAGGACCATGTGTATATGTATTTAGATACCCCGGATTCGGATTCAGCGCATCAAAATACATGAGGATACATGAGACTAATCTTTGTAACAGGCCTCTTTTCTTTTTTTGTGGGACTATAATTAATTGTAAAGGTATTAAACTATTTCAAACAAATTTAAAAATTTTTGTAAACATTTTTATCTAATCAAATTATTAAAAGCCAAACAATGTTCTTCGATGCCGGAAGTCTATTATTCAATGAGCTATATACCCAATTACACTAGTAATATCTAATAAATAAAAAAAGTTAAAATGATATTAAAACCGTCGAATAGGTTCCAGAATCTCAAACTTAAAACATGTTAATCGAAACGGTTTTAGAGAGTATTGTAATGGATCAAAATGGATTTAGAATACAGTAAAATATGTCAAAGTAACTTCAGAATACAAAAATTCTTTCAAAGTTCAATGATCAAAGGTCAATCCTATGGTCAATATAACTGTTGAAGGTCAATCATCTGTGATGAAAGGTTAATAGCCTGAAACTAAAAATTGTTGACTTTTCATTCCGCAATATTACACCTTTAATCTCCGACTTGGTTGCAATACATCAAATCGGCTTTAGAATACAATATGTTGAAATAGCTTCAGATAACTAATTTTTTTTTCTTCATCGGTGAAGGACAAAGGTCAAGCCATAAGCAGTGGCGGTTCTTGTCTTCCATACCCGGGGAATAATTTAGGTACAAAGTATTAAAACAAAATTAAAAATAATTGGACAGTTTTATTTTAGTATCTATTATTGAAATATAGGGAAAATATATTCAACATTATTTTTTATAGTGAAAGTCCATTCTTCTGGTTTGGTCCGAAATAAACTTTTCAATTATTTTCGACTAAAATTTGGTAATTCTCGCACCATTGATTTTACAATATAGAGCATTACAGAGAGTCTGTCTTTACAATCAATAAATAACAAAATTTTATACCACACCTGAACAAATTACGTTTAATATGAAAAAGAGCTACTATTTGGTTACAGTAGGACTTAGCAGAGCCCAAACTGCATAGTAAATATGCGCTACTCCCACTTCGCCTTTCACTGCTGCGCGACTGTAACCATGACCACCGCTGTAAACACTTTACAGATGTAGGAGCGAGCTACGCGGAACCCACATAATCAGAGTTTCGCAAGTGAAGTTAAATTGACTGCACATTACAAATTTTCCTTTTTAGTCTGTTTCATAAAGTTAGGTAATCGATTTAATTATTCAAATAACATTGTAAACTAAATTTTAGCAAGTCAGTGGCCCAAAAAAACAAGTGTCATTGACAGAAGATCAGCGATTAATAACCAAAAACCAAAGATCGTTGACCTTTTACTAATCAGTCATTGACCTTTAATCTCTGACCTTTTTAACCAAAGATCGTTGACCTTTTACTAATCAGTCATTGACAATCTCTGACCAAATGAAGCAAAACTTTTTTAAAATATAACAAAATATATCTAGTTAGCCTGGGATTACTAAAATTATTTTTTTTAAAGTTCAAAGAACAGAGGTATTTCGACGAATTTGGGGGTTTTTGAAGTGTTTTCAAATTTTCGAAGTAGGTATATTGTTTGTATTTCTAGATATTTTGAAACATGATTTGGGTTTGATATATTTAGCGGTTCTCGTTGGATTTCCAGATATTTCGATTTAATGAGTATAGTATTTCCAATCTCAATTGAGGAACCAAAAGGTTGGCAGTATGTACCAGTTTCGGTCGCTGATGCAGTAACTCGGCATTTAAATATTTGAAAAACTTTAACTATTTAGCCATACCCATCTACAGGTCTAGTCGAACTAAACGTGGAAGAGGTAGAAATGTATAAACCCAGTTGAAGAATGCGCGCGCGGGCAAACGGCGTATAATACATCCGCACCGGGCGACTGGGCAATAAATCTCAGTTGTTGACAAGTAGTTGACAAATTGCCTAGCTGTGCAGTGCAGCAATACTGAATTTGGTGTGATTCAGGTAAATTTAATTTATTATAGGCACCTTCTATTAATCATTCATATTACAACTGCGAAAGAGAGAAATAAGAGGATATTTTGTTCACTAATATTATTTCAACATGGCATGTTCGAGACCTTTTGAAACGGAACAAAACGAAATTGGCCATTTAACTATTTTACTATTTAAATAATTAAAATATGTTTTTGACCAAATGAACATAGGTATAATAGAAATTTTCTACACATTATGTATAAATTATTATAATTTTTTACTTTTAGCACAACATTTTTGTAGGGACGCCTATGAAACTCATTAAATTTTATTGCTAGGCGTTCTTATACATGTTTAACTAATTTCGAAAAGACTATATGTACTTCAAAATCTTTGAAAGGAATTCGATATAGGTGTTTCGAAGAATTTTGAAGTTTTTAGAAGTTTTCGGTATATTTTTAATGTATTTTGCCTTTCTTTTAAATATTTTTATATTTTTCATGCATTTTATAGTGTATTTTAAAATTTTTATGCAATTTAAACCAACGTCAACGGTTTACAGTCATTTTAATCCATTTGAAATTTTCTGAAACCATTTCGATGTACCTATTTTGTAATATTTTACACCTGTTTTGATATTTTTTTTTTTAAGAAATTCTAGACCCAATTTGACAAATTTTGATGTATTTTTAAGTTGTTGATACTTCCTAAAAGTATTGTTACAACTTATCCTCACGATAGAAGGTTTTACCTTACAAAAATATGTAACCTACAACAAGAGCTCTAACTGATTAACTGCCATGCTAGATATTTTGGTTAATATGAAAGATAATTGCGGTTTTCGTGAATGTTCATTAGTTTTTAAGATTTTGATATTACAGGTAACTCCCACCACTGCACTACAACTGGACTTTTTTCTGAAATGTTGACATTTTACTTTATAAATTTTCTTGAATACTCACTCCAGTGGCTGCTTACTTTTATGCTTACTCCTATTAACCTTATGCTGCTTACTCCTATTAACATCCAAACATCGAAGACTCCCTTTCGCAAAATTTAACTAACCCCTCAATTTCATCCCCCCAGGTACACCGACAGGGAATTCCCAGATCCCGGTGAAAACGAAAGCGTAGTCTACAGCCTCCCCAGGAAGTTCTCCTCGACAGGACAACGCCAAGCTTCCCTAGCCGAGAGGGAGGTGTTCGAAAAGCTCCGAGGGTTAGCGGGGAACAACGCCATAAGGGGGCTATGGGTGACGTTCTTTCACAGCGCCTGCTACGCGGGGCAATCCTACAGGAACCAGAGGATGGGCCGGCTGATGATCAGGGAACACGATTTCGTGGTGTTCGCGAAATATAAAGGTAAGTGCGAAGCTTGCAGATGCTTAATTCGAAACTAAATTCGAATCCCCTGCACCCCATTCGGTGACTGGTGATCCCCATGATACAAAGACCAGAACGTGAACTAAAATCGATTCATTTGGCGCGTGACGTCACGTGGAGAGTAATTTAAGTGGTTCGTTAATAATGTCTATGATAATTGTTTACAATTATTAAAATAAATAAAAACTGATTTCAATATCACGATAATCACAAACCCTTCAGTGTTATAGACGTTATTTGGTAACCCTTGTGCAGCTTTCACAGATTTTTTTTGCACACTGACATATTTGACAAAAATTTGCTAGACGATTGTTTTTATTAGGGTTTAGTTTTTGTTTTTGAACTGTTTTTATCATTCCGTGGTTCATATTTTTTTAATAGCAACTTCTGGAGCTAATTACAAATATGGTCCGAACATTTTGGTTGTAAATTGTAGAAACAAAAAATCAGATTTTTTTTGCAGTAACTATGATGTATACTGTTTGCGTATGAATTTAAAAATTTAGAAATATGCTAAAGTTAGAGATGATAAACAATCACAAGCACCAACTGTTAAAAGCTAGTACAATTCCTACCAAGCTGACTTATTTTGCATGTGACGTTAAACACACTCAAAGACTTCGCGTTCAGTCCGTCCAGAAAACCATCCGTGGGAGAGAAGGAAACGTTTCAGGGCTGCCATCTGCATAAATCCATCGTAAATACGTCAGTCACTAGCGCGTAATAAATATGCAAGCGGGGACGGACTGTAATTTCGTGTCGTTCGGAGCAATTTTTTACGCGAGCAAAAAAATCACCGACAAAATGTCGAAGAAAGCCAGAAGCCATGAAGGGGGTTTCAGTTTTAAGTACTCTTAATAATAGAGTATGCTGAAGAACGTCCTCAAAAAAAATGACAGGTCGTCTTTTATTTCGTTTTTTCACGCTTATCCGATATGATTGGTATTCGCGACGTCAGTTTTTGTATAATACGTTGTTTGGTCGTACAAAAAGACCAGAACCCCTCGATAACGTCTCAGGATAGAATCATACCAAATAAAAATTTTACATAAAAGTTGTAAGATATCAAGAAAACAATATAATATGTATTAGTGATTTTGGATTTGACCTTATTCAAGGTCAACTTGAAAATATGAAACAGAATGCCCTATTTTTTTATACCAGCAATCGACAGAGTACCAAAATTATGGAGTTGGAAAATGTTTCTTGTATCTCTGCAGGTTATTTGGAGATCAATATAATTTTTCTCCTAATAACTCGAGAAATATGTTTCAAGCAAAAAGCAAAAATGTTACTCGAAAGAAGTAACGCTAAGTTGGCAAATTGCAAACAAGTTGCGAAATTACGTGTTTTTTCACCTTTTTTACTGCCCTTGAAAATCTAGACGACCTATCGAAAAATTGGCAATTTTAAGGTATCTAGAGGCATATTTCACCAATTTGTTAACTGTAAAACAGAGATCCAACGCGGAGAAATCAGTTTTCGAAAATTTCGCTTTATTATGCACTTACCTTTGATACAATAAAAAATAAAGTTGATAATTAAAGGAAAATTAAAGATAAATAATTATCGGACTGGTGAAAGACCAATAATTATTAACGATAGGCATTTGAAAATACGCTAATTGTTTTTTTTTTAATCGCGAAACATCGATTTAAAAAAAAATCATCAAAATCGGACCTCTAGCAGCTGAGATATTAAAAATTTTTAAGCGCGTCGGGGTTTTGAACTTTCCGATTCAATTTCGAGCAGGCCGAAACGGCCGCGCTCTCTGCTTCACCCACCACTACCACCCGTACGATTTTCTTGAATTTCTCGCATTCACAAATAACTTTAAATTTGTTTTAAAGTAGGTTGCCAATGTAGAAAAGTATTGCAAACTTAGACCTGGTAAGAACTCGGAATACCAAAGGTATTTTTCGAAAAATTAGCCCGGATCTGCCAGTACATTTAGTGTACATGACGGTTAACTTTGATCGGCTATAACTACGTAACTAATTGACCAACCGATCTGTTTTTTTTTTTTAAGAAGCGTCTTTCTAATAACTTTTAAAACCAGCTTTAAAAAATTCGATTTGATTGAATATTCACAGTATTCAAGTTATTCTAGTTGTTTATAAGTACAAAAATTCGACCAATGTTTAAACAAGGGCCAAAGCTCTCCTAATTGACAAATTCGAATTTTTAATAAAGCGTTTGAAAGCTTGAGAGCCCTTCTGTATGTGATTAAATTTTCAAGTATCTAAGGGCCTTGGTTTTTGCTGTGCAAAATTTGGAAATTTGCATTTTTTTTTTCAAAATCTGGATTGCAAAATTATTATGCAAAATCTATATAACCGATTTTGATGAAGTTTGGAGTGATGATTCTACATAACATGAACTTTTNGTCGAAGAAAGCCAGAAGCCATGAAGGGGGTTTCAGTTTTAAGTACTCTTAATAATAGAGTACGCTGAAGAACGTCCTCAAAAAAAATGACAGGTCGTCTTTTATTTCGTTTTTTCACGCTTATCCGATATGATTGGTATTGGCGACGTAAGTTCTTGTATATAATTTGTTGTTTCGTAGTACAAAAAGACCCGAATCTTCCTATAACTTCTCAGGATTGAATTATACCAAATAAAAGTTTTACATAAAAGTTGTAAAATATCAAGAAAACAATATATTAGTGATTTTGGATTTGACCTTATTCAAGGTCAACTTGAAAATATGAAAGAGAATGCCCTATTTTTTATACCAGCAATCGACAGAGCACCAAAATTTTACGTCCCAATATGGAGTTGGAAAATGTTTCCTTAATTATTGGACTGGTGAAAGACCAATAATTATTAACAACAGGCATTTGAAAATACGCTAATTGTTTTTTTTAATCGCGAAACATCGATTTTAAAAAAAATCATCAAAATCGGACCTCTAGCAGCTGAATTTTCTTGAATTTCTCGCTTGCACAAATAACTAAATTTGTTTTAAAGTAGGTTGCCAATGAAGAAAAGTATTGCAAACTTAGACCTGGTAAGAACTCGGAATACCAAAGGTATTTTTCGAAAAATTAGCCCGGATCTGCCAGTACATTTAGTGTAAATGACGGTTAACTTTGATCGGCTATAACTACGTAACTTTTTTTCAAAATCTGGATTGCAAAATTATTATGCAAAATCTATATAACCGATTTTGATGAAGTTTGGAGTGATGATTCTACATAACATGAACTTTTCTTGAGCCAAGTATGAAGATCCTATACCCAACTTAAAAACCCCAAAAAAAATCCCTAAAAAATAGGTTTTTAACCCAATTTTTGGCGATTTTTTCGATTTTTACAATAATAATCATGATTAATTCGATTTGTAACTAGTCATAATTTGTAAAATTTAATTACAAACATATTTTTCCTCTTCCATTTTCGCCTAAAATCAACTCTTGAAAAGATACATAATTAAATAGGAAGAAAAATATGACATTTTTCGAATTTTTTAAACATATTGTGCCGTCAAAAGTTAAGCCCACGTTTTTTTTATGCGCATA